TGAACATTCTGGAAATTTTGAAAAATTTTCAAATTACGAAAATTCCTAAAAATTAAAGGAAAATAAAAAAAATGATATCTTAAAATTTCAAAAGTTTACACAATCTTAAGATTGTAGATATTCTAAAAATTCCAAAGTTTCCAAATGTTTGAAATATTGAGAAGGTCAAAAATTCTAAAGACTCGATACATTCTAAAGTTCTAATATTCTAAATATAAAAAAGACCCAATAAAATCTTTAAAAAATTTAAAGAAACTAGGGGTACTAATGATCCAAGAAATTGCAGAAATTTTCATATTATTTATAAAAGACTCAAAGAGCCTAAATAAAGACTAGTTAAATGCTCTAAAGACTAAAGATTTTAAAGGCTCTAAAGACTCTAAGGGTTCAAACGCTAAAATTCTGTTTCAAATACTTGAAAAATTCTAAAGGTTCTAGAGAAATTCCAAAAAACCAAAGATTCTAAAATCGCGTAAATTCTTAAAATGTCAAAGAAAACAAAAATCTTAAAGACCTAAAAATCGTAAAGATCGGAAAAATGATTTCTTTGATTTTTATAAATTAGAGATTCCAAAGATTTATTCGACTCTTGAAATGTATAAATTTTAGAAAATCTGAAAAAATAAGCGTGGGAAAAATGTGGTAGACTAGAAGTCTTAAAAATATTGGAAAAGATTCAATTTTAAAATTCTGGTATAACTGGAGCCTGATAATTTTAGAAATGTTGGAAAATGGAAATTTTGAAAATTCCCAAAAATTAAAGGAAAATAAAAAAATATTAAATCTCAAAATTTCAAAAGTATACACAATCTTAAAATTGTAGATATTCTAAAAATTCCAAAGTTTCCAAATGTTTGAAATATTTAAAAGGTTAATAAAAATTCTAAAAACTCGTTACATTCTAAAAATTTTAAAGTTTTCATTCACTCTAGTCTAATCTGCGACTTGTAAAGATACTAAAGATGCTAAGTAAACTAAAGTTTCAGGTTCTAAATAGAAGAAACATCCAACAAAATCTTTAAAAGTGTAAATATCTTGGAAGTATTAATGTTCCTAGAAATTATAAAAATTCTAAACTTTATAAAATTTCTAGTAATTCTGAAGTATCCAAAATTTCCAAAAATTGTTAAGACTCTAAGGACTCTGAAAACTAAAGATTCTAAATACTCCAAGGACTCAAACATTTAAAAGTTTTTTAAAATTCTGTTCCAAATATGTATTTCAAAGGTTCTATAATTTGTAAAAAACGCATGAGCTCTTAACATGACAAAAATTTTAAAGATTCTAAAAACTAAAAACAAATGAAAAATCCTACAATTGGGGGTCTTGAACACCCTAATTATTATCTTACACATCTCAGAGATTCTAAAGATTCCACAAATTCCAAATATTTAAAAAATTGAAAGATGATATAAATCTGAAGATCTAAAAATATTTATTAAAGTTTTAGAGATACTGAAGTATGTAAAAATAGTGAAAATCTGAAAGCTTTAAAGATTATAGAAATTCTAGTGATTCTAGATTCTAGAGATTATAAAGATTCCAAAGTTTCCAGTGGTTTGAAAGATTCAAAAAGTATAAAAACTTTCACGGATTACATACACTTGAAATTGCGAATTGTAAAGACACTTAAGATTCTAAATATACAAAAGATACAATAAAATCTTAAACATTTTAAAGATCCTGGGGGTACTAATGATCGTAGAAATTGCAGAAATTTCAGGCTTTTTATTATTTTTAAAAGACTCTAAAGACGAAAAATTTTAAAGACTAATGGGTCAAACGCTAAAATTCTGTTTTGAATTCTTGAAAGATTCTAAAGGTTCTAGAGAAATTCCAAAAAACTGAAGATTCTAAAACTTGCAAAAATCGCGTAAATCTTAAAATGCCAAAGATTTTAAAAATTACAAAGACTTTAAAGAAAACAAAAATCTGAAAAACCTAAAAATCGTAAAGTTCGAAAAAATGTTTTCTTTAATGTTTGTAAATTAGAGATCCGAAAAATTACAAAGATTTAGACTCTTAAAATGTATAAATTTTAGAAAATCTGAAAAAATTCAGAAAGTGTGGGAAAAAAATGGTAGACCTAGAGATCTTGAAAATATTGGAAAATGTGGAAATTCTGGTCATTATGTGTACTTCGGAAAATCTAAAAAATTGGGTTGATCTGCAAAATCTGAACATTAGGAAATTTTGAAAATTACGAAAATTATCAAAAATTAAAGGAAAATAAAAAAATATTAAACCTCAAAATTTCGAAAGTTTACACAATCTTAAGATTGTAGATATTCTAAAAATTCCAAAGTTTCCAAATGTTTGAAATATTTAAAAGGTCTCAAACCTTTCAAAAATTCTTAGTTTTTATATACTAGAATCTCCGAATTATAAAGACACCAAAGATGCTAAGTAAACTAAAGTTTTAGGTTCTAAATGGAAGAAACATCCAACAAAATCTTTAAAATTGTAAAGATCTTGGAAGTATTAATGTTCCTAGAAATTATAAAAATTCTAAACTTTATAAAATTTCTAGTAGTTCTGAAGTATCCAAAGTTTTCAAAGATTGTTAAGATTCTAAGGACTCAAAAGAAAAATTCTAAAAATTGTTAAAATCTGAAAAATTCTTCCTTTAATTTTTATAAATCCTAGACGCATTAGGGGTCTTGAATACCTTAATTATTATTATACACATCTCAGAGATTGTAAAGATTCCAGAGATTTAAAAAATCTGGAAATATCTGTGAAAAATGGAAGACCTAGAAATCTTAAAAAGTGAGGAAAATGTTGAATTCTGGCATATCCGAAGACTGATATTTTTATAACATTTAGAAAATCTGGAACTTCTGGAAATTTTAAAAATTTACTCAATTCTAGAAATTCTAAATATTTTACTGAATTAGTGAAAATATTCCAAATACTGTGAAAGTTATTAATACTAAATTGATACATGTGCCCTTGCTATAATGTTTGACGTTATCAAAAAAAAATATATATATATGAAGAAACTGACTATAACCATGAAAAAAAAAGAATTCTCAAATTAAAATTGATTATAATTTTTCGAAGTCGTATTCGTTCGACTGTACTTTAGGGGCTAGGAAAGTTCTGTTGAAATAACTTTCAAGCAATTTTTTTTTTGTTTCGATTTACAATTTTTCGTTTCGTTTTTTATTTATTTTTTTTTTTCAGAAAAATGAAAACTCGAAAAAAATTAAAATTTTTTAGATTTTGCATTTTTTTTATTTTCAGTTTTACGAGTTCCTAATTTGCAATTTTTGAGTTTTTTTCTTTTCCAATTTTCCATATCTTCCGTTTTTTTTTTTTTTTGTACTTGCTAAGATAAGACTGTAATAACATACCCTCTAGGAAAATAGAGGGTGAGGGGGTCCTAGTACTTGCCAAGCTAAGACTAATTTTGGCAAATGATATACCCTCTAGGAAAATAGAGGGCAGGTGGGCGGGGCTAGTACTAGTAAGTTAAAACTAATTTGGGCAAATGGCAAACCTTCTAAGAAAGTAGAGGGCAGGTGGGCGGGACTAGTACATTTTTTTTAAATAATAATTGGTTTATACCAAATTTTTTTTTTTTTGTTTCAATTTTTGATTTGCAATTTTTCTAGTTTTTCATGTTAAATATTTAATAATAGTTTTTAAAATTTTTCAGTTTTACGATTTTAGAATTTTTAATTTTTTTTGTCCTCCAATTTTACGATATGCCACTGAACTGTTCGAGTTTTCATTTTTAAATTTTTCAGTTTTTCGATTTCCCTTTTTTATTTTAATTATTTTTTCGATATTTCGGTTTTTAATGTCGTGATATAATAATTGTCTTTTTTCCTTGTGAAAATTTTCAATTTCTCGATTTTTCGATGTTCTGATTTACAATTTTTCTAGTTTTAGATAAAAAAAAAATCACATTTTCAGTTTTACGATTTTAGAAAACTTCCTTTTTGCAATTATTGGAGTTAAAATTTTTTTCATTTATTCGATTTTTCAATTTTTCAGTCTTTCAATAGTACAGTTTTTCGACTTCACAATTTGAACAATTATTGTATTATAGAATCGTCAAAATTGTAAAAAAATCGATTTTACAATTTTTGTGTTTTCCAATTTTTCAATTCGATTCGTTTTTTCTTCTTTCTAAATTTTCGTTGATTAATTTTTTTGGATTTTCAATTTTTCGATTTTTCAAACTTTACGGAAAAGTTTAAAATGAAAAGTTTGAAAAATCTAAAAATTGTAAATCAAGAACTTGAAAAATTGATGAAAAGAAAAATTCAAAAATCGAAAAATTAAAAATTGAGAAACTTCGAAAAAACGAAATATGTGTCGTAAAATCGAAATATTGAAAATTAAAGAAATCGGATAACTGAAAATCTAAAAATTGCCAAATTGAAAAATTATAAAATCGGGAAAATGAAAAATGAAACTCGAGAAGCTGAAAAATCGAAAAATGAAAAATTGTAACATCGAAAATTTGCAAATGGAAAAAAGAACAAACATTTTGACAAACCACAAGTATAGAGTCAGTATTTTTACATGCTTCAGAGAGAATTTATTCCGCAAATTTTTTGAGATAACGTCATCGAACTGTTGGTGGGGATGATTAGCCAAATTTTGATTGGCGTTTTATCATCTACATGATATATTTATACATATACAGACAGACACACGGAACCTAGAGACCTGTTTCTTCGTAGTTTAGGGGTCATAAAATATCGGACTTTTTCTTACTCTCGACATCTTTGTGGTTGTCTGGTTTACAGAGTAATAAAACATCATTCTCTTTACCTGTTACTTATTAATCGTTTGATAACTTGCAAACATTTTTCAGCTGGTGCATAATTGTATAATATACAGCCAATTTTTTTTAATATTGGCATGATGTATCGGATGAAGACAGAAACAAACATACCAGATGTAGATCTAATTGGTACAGTTTTACAACACCTTGCCAAAATTAATAGCATTCTACTATATTAAATCTTCTCTGCTTGTTACAGGTAAAGGTCGGTACGGTGGTATAGCCATCGATTATGACGGCAAAATCGTGGCCAGCCGTTCGGAGCAAAAGGGTAAAAATTACGTTCACGTATTGAGCCTGACTGATACTAACGTCAATAACCACATCGACTCCCATGACAACAAACTGAAAAGGCCCAGCGGTGTCGCAGTGACGTTGGGCAACCACGTCATAGTGGTAGATCTAGGGAACAATTGTATCAAAAAATATCGTTATTGGTGAATTTTGTACATTGCTCTCTGTACTTTTGCTGCACTATTTTTGCAGATCTCAGTAAATGCGATTCTAAACACATTTTTTAACTATTTTCGTATTGTTTTCGATGTACCTGGAGCAGTACAGGTTAGTCATTTGTTTAACGTAACTAACGTAATTTTAAGCAAAAATGTACTCAAACATAATAGTAAGATCAAAATTCGCTTGCGAGCAGCCTTTTATTATTACTTTTAATATTTTTTACAAAGCTTCATGTGTGAATTGAGTAATGGAGCACTTTGAAAATTTATTGATTGTTGATGACTACCAAGACGGTTACAAAATCGATTTTTAGATGTATTTTTTACAAGTGATAGATCACTGTTGCAGTGTTGTTTGTGGACTTAAAAATGTGCTTATGTATTATTTAGACTTCAGAATAGTTTCTTTTTGTACTTAAGAAATCTTTTTTAAAGATTTGTACGAATCTTGCGGTATGTTTGCAGTTTTCCTGTTCTCGGAAGTATACTTTTGTTTTCTAGTCATTCGTTGCGCATGTTTTTATACTAGTACAATTGTTTTGTACACAATAAAATTCTTGATAATTATGTCGTCTTTTTTTACCATACCCTGCCTAATTTTCATATTCTTGTTGTGTTAGCAGGCTGGGGGAAAAATAAATAAGTGAACAGAATAACAATTCGTGAGAGTTGTCAATAAATACATGTTTTCTCTTAAAAAGATCTTTTACTGATAAAACATGGTGGCAGCGGTAAAAAGATCGTATATTCGTTAAAATCATACGAAGAAATAGCAGAGAAGATATAAATAGTAATTTGAAATTACATAGATCATGACTGGACCGGAAGGAACACCTAATCCGGTAAAGGTAACGCATACTCCGGTGATGGGTATGCAAGCTCATGTTAGTCCACCAGAAAAATTTACATTTTCTATGCCTAATACTTGGCCCCAATGGAGAAAGCGGTTTGAGCGATATATGTCCATATCGGGACAGAATGATAAGCTGGAAGAGGAGAAAATAAATTTATTGGTGTATATCATGGGAGAAGAATCTGAAGATATTTTATTGCAAGCTGCAGTTACACCTAAGAGTTATGCTGAGACATTACAGTGTTTTGAAAATCACTTTGTTCCAAAGAGAAATATAATTTTTGAGCGTTACAAATTTAATTCCAAAGTTCAGAAACCAGGGGAGTCAGTGGAGAGTTTCATTACTAGTCTTCATTCTCTGGCTGAAAGTTGTGACTACGGAGCACAGAGACGCATAGTGGTTGGAATGCTGGACTCCCGGACTAGTGAGCGTTTACAATTGCAAACAAATTTAACTTTATCTGATTGCGTGTTGGCTGCAAAACAAGCTGAAATTCAGGCTGAGCAGAACAGAGAACTTCAAAACGACATGCGTCAGCGTCAAGTTGCAAAACTGTCAGTCGAGACAAGAAATGCTAACAATGGTAGCAGTACGGGTGATATGAAGAAACAAAACTCGTTTCAGAATAAGTCTTTGAAGTATCAGTGTGATAAGCGCTGTCCTTTTTGCGGTCTGCAACCTCATTCCAGAGATAAGTGTCCTGCTAATGGAGTAGTTTGTCGAAAATGCAAGAAAAAGGGACATTTTGCTAGAGTATGTAGGAGTGTTATGATTAAATCTTTGGAGTTACTTTCTGAAGAGGAAGACGTAGATCTTGTAGGGACGATTTATTTAAACCAAATTAATACTCAAGAATGGATCGCCTCCTTATTTGTTTCAGGGTTAAACAGAGTTATTGAGTTTCTGGTAGATACTGGTGCTGACGTTTCTTGCCTACCCTTTCATTATGTGCTCGAGAATCTAGTGTATAAAATACGTAAGTCAAATAAAATTATTTCTGGCCCGTCTGGGATTAAGCTGGGGGTTGTCGGTACTATGCCTGTTAATTTGATCCAAGGGGACAAACTGTTTAAGACAGAGTTGTTTATTATTAAAAATTTGACAAAACCTATTCTAGGGAGGACTGGGATTATTAATTTAAATATTATTCAGTTTAAAAATAATGATGGCTTATTAAATTTAAATACTGTAGCTAATAATAGTTCATTAAAAGAAATTGTTTCGGAAAAGTTTCCAGGAATCTTTAGTAATATCGGAACGTTTAAAACTGAAATGGAGATAAAAGTAAAAGAAGGTGTTCAACCTTATGTACAATCTGTACCGCGTATAGTACCCCTCGCCTTATTAGATTCACTAAAATTGGAATTAGAACGATTACAAAAATTAAATATAATAGAACCTGTTGATTATTATACTCCTTGGGTCAGTCCAATTGTAGTTGTGAAGAAAGGTGAAAAAATTAGATTGTGTGTGGATTACACCCGTTTAAATACAGTTGTTCTGCGTTCTTATTTCCCAATAAACAAGGTAGAATTAATCTTAGCTAGGTTAAAAGGGGCAGTTTATTTTAGTAAGCTGGACACTACATCAGGCTTCCATCAAATCAAATTAAGTAAAAATTGTCAAGATCTAACCACTTTTATAACCCCTTTTGGTCGATTTTTATTTAAGAGACTTCCGTTTGGGATTTCTTGTGCCCCAGAATATTTTTCGATCTTGTTAACTAAAATTCTAATTGGAATAGAAGGTGTAATTAGTCATATTGATGATATCTTGATTTTTGCTGCGACTATTGAAGAACATGATAAAATATTAAACGAAGTTCTTTCTCGAATAGCTGCTGAAGGGATTACATTAAATAAAGATAAATGTGTAATTAGAGTTAAATCCTTGCAATTTTTAGGTCATCAAATTTCTGACAAAGGTATTTCTATTGATCCAGATAGAATTTCTTCAATCAATAAGTATCCAGAACCCACAAACAAAAAAGAATTGTTACAATTTTTGGGAATTATTAATTTTTCTAGTCGCTTTATTCCTAACCGTTCAGAGATTTTAGAGCCACTAACTTCGTTGTTAAAGAAAAATGTAACTTTTATGTGGGGTGTTTCTCAAAAAGAATCGTTTGAGACAGTTAAACACTTACTACAAATTAGTCCTTGTTTAGCGTATTTTGATCCTTCTAAGAAGATTTTTATTTCTGCAGATGCTTCGTCGTATGGTTTGGGTGCATGTCTCATGCAATGTAATGAAAACAAAAAAGAAATTATTGCCTATGCTTCTAGATTACTCTCACCTACTGAAAAAAGATATGCTCAGATTGAACGCGAAGCACTTGCATTAACTTGGGCAGCAGAAAAATTTCGAGAATATATCACCGGAATACGAATAACTTTTGAAACGGATCACAAACCATTAACTCAAGTTTTACAAACAAAACCCATAGATGATTTAACACCTCGTTTACAGCGTTTCAGAATTAGATTAATGAGGTTTGATTATGAAATTTATTATGTACCAGGAAAAAATCTAATAGTAGCTGATGCGTTATCAAGAAATTTTTCAGGAGATTCGCGTAGTCCAGAGGATGACGAGTTGGCTCATGAAACGGAGGCACATGTTAATTTGATAGTACAATCTGTTCAAGTAAAACCATACTTTATTGAGGAAATTAAACAAGAACAGGCCAAAGACTCTATATGTCAAACGTTAAAGGATTATTCTATAACTGGGTGGCCTGCTAAGACTAAATTAGAGGAGAATATACGTCCTTACTACCAATATCGATTTGAAATTTCTTTTGTCCATGATATATTGTTGCGAAATAATAAAATAATTATTCCTAGTTCTTTGCAGTTGAGGTGTTTAGAATTTTTACATCGCGGACATCAGGGGATTGTTAAATGTCGCGCACGAGCGAAAACGTCTGTGTGGTGGTTAGGTCTTTCTTCACAGATTGAAAATTTAATTAGAAATTGCCCTCAATGTGTGGAACATAAAATTAATTTCAAAGAACCTTTCTTAAAGGATTCATTTCCCGAACGTCCGTGGCAAAAAATTGCACTAGATTTGTTTAAAATTGATAGTCGGTACTTAATAGTGACTGATTATTACTCAAGATTCTTTGAAATATTCAAATTAAATAAAATGACAGAATCCATCATTATTGCTAAACTGAAGACATTATTCAGTCGCTTTGGCTTTCCTGAAATTGTAAGGTCAGATAATGGTCCACAATTCCAAAGTGAATTTAAAAAATTTGCTTATGATTATGATTTCCATCACATTACTAGTAGTCCTTACTTTCCTCAGTCTAATGGTTGCATTGAAGCGGCTGTAAAAATAGCCAAGAGTCTTATTAAAAAAAATCCTGGTGGTTTAGATTTAGCTTTATTGGCTTATCGTACTACACCATTAGAGTGCGGATATAGTCCTTCCGAACTTCTCATGAATAGGAAACCACGGTCACATTTGCCTATTCTGCCAAGTCAATTAAATAAAGCTGTTAACGCTAAACTTGTTTTTAAAAGGGAGGATAAGGCTAAAGATAAAAGTATTGACCAGTTTAATAGAAGACATAGGGCCCGAAATTTATCAGAACTGAAACAAGGGGACAGTGTTTGGGTAATTGACTTACGAATATATGGGAAAATAATAGAGGTCTTAAGAGAACCACGGTCATACATGGTGGAAACTAATTTTGGAATCTATCGGCGCAACCGATATCATTTAGTTCCAGCTCCTTATTATATTTTACCACCTCCGCTCATTTCGACATTGCCTCAGCCTCAGCCTTCTGAAAATAGTGTCAACATTGATTCAAAATTAATGAATAAAAGTTCCAGAGAAGTCAGCACCAATATCACTACAGGAATTCATAATTCATCTGATAATGTTGTGTCGTCACCTCCATGGTCTGTTCCTCCTCTGCGGCGGTCAACTAGGAATTCAAAGAGGCCTGCTTATTTGAAAGACTACGTAACCTAGCTTAAAAGGGGGGGATGTTGTGTTAGCAGGCTGGGGGAAAAATAAATAAGTGAACAGAATAACAATTCGTGAGAGTTGTCAATAAATACATGTTTTCTCTTAAAAAGATCTTTTACTGATAAAACAATTCTCATATTCAATTTAGTCTTTGAAACCTCCAGAATTCGACAATTTATGCTATAAGTATAGTACAACTTTTAAATTCAAATCGCGCATTTATCGTGAACGATTAAAAAAATTTATTTTATTGATTATGGAGTCTAAAAGTTTCATGTTGTGAAAAGAAGTCTCTACACATATTGAAAACAAAAAGGCAAAAAGTAAAACCCGCCCACCCGCCCCATCTCAATTGTGATGATTTTTTTATTCGCCGTGAACCAAGGGGGCGGAACTTATCTACAAAATACTTTCTTTACAAGTAATTAAAAACATGTTTTTGAGAAAAAAAGCCAAAATATTTTTACATTAACTCTTTAAACTATCACAATCCAAACAGAATTTTTTCCGTCTCAAAAAAAAAGCAAAAGAAATTTACCAGAAAAAATATTTGTGTTATAAATTCCAAATAAATCATAATTATAATAATGATATTACGACACAAGATGCAAGGTCAGATAACAGTTTGATTCTAAGATGGTTTATAAGATTTGTAAGGAAAGTATACTATAATTTAGGTGATAAAACTAAAAGGTAGGTTCAATTGAGTGAAGCAGAGGGGAACTGCTGCGAATGTTCTTCACCCTTTGGAATATTAGGGCTAACTCTAAAAGTTCATATTTGCCTTTAAAAATACATTTTGAACGTTCAGAATCGTTTCGTCTCGAAAAAGCAAAAATTTTAACACAAAAAAGTGTGTATTTTGAGACTTAAGATAGGGCGGGTGGGCAGTGATTATATTTTGCCGTTTTTTCTTAATATACATAGCCGTCTTTTCACAACAAGAAATTTAAACAATTGTTAAAATGATACTTTTTTTTCTCTAAAATATTTTTTTTACAATTTTTGGAGTTTTCAAATTTAAATTTTTCAATTCTTCAAATTTTCTATTTGCAATTTCACAAGTTTTCACTGTTTAATTTTTCAATTTTTGGTTTCGGTTAAACATTTTCTTCTTTTTTTCAATTATTCGATTTTTTAATGTTTTGATTTTTTGTTTGTTTTTTTAATTTCAATTTTTATCAATTTTTCAATTTCCCATTTTTGTGTTTACTCAATTTAAAATTTCTCGAATTTTCAATTTTTAATTTTTCTATAAATGTCAAATAATTCTTAATTAGAATAATGATATTACGACACAAGATGCAAGGTCAGATAACAAGTTTGATTCTAAGAAGATTGATGAGACTTTAAGGAAACAGAACTATATTAAAATTTAGGGCTACAAAACTTAAAGCTAAAGTCGTATGTATGAAGCAGAGGGGAACTGTTACGAATTCTCGGACCCTTCAAAATATCACAGCTCACTCTTGGAGTTTAAGAGAAGAAAAAAATCATCAGAATTAAGATTGGGTGGGTGGGCGGTTATTATATTTTTCCTATTTTTTTCTTAATATACATACATAGCCGTCTTTTCACAACAAGAAATTTAAAACATTGTTAAAATGGTACCTTTTTTTTTCTCTGAAATATTATTTTTTTTCTACAATTTTTCGAGTTTTCAAATTTAAATTTTTTAGTTTTCCAATTTTCCAACTTTTTAATTGTTCAATTTTTAGATTTTGCAATTTTTCGATTTCAGTTTTATGAGTTTTCAAAATTTCAATTATTCCATTTTTACATGTTAGATTTTATAATTTTTTGTTTTTTCTGTTTTATTTCTTCAATCTTGCGATGTGAGATTTTTCAATTTTTCGATTTTTTAATTTTTTAGTTTTTCATTTCTTCAAATTTTCTATTTGCAATTTTTAGTTTCAGTTCTTTGTTTTTTTTATTTTCACAATTTTTCGATTTGCGATTTCACAAGTTTTCAATTTTTAATTTTTCTGTTTTTATATTCGTTAATTTTTAATTTTCTTTATTTTTACAATTTTTCGATTTTTTAATGTTCTGTTTTTATATTTTTTTGTTTTTTCAGTTTCAATTTTAGTTTTTCGTTTCTTCCATTAATCGATTTGCAATTTTTCGATTAATAATTTCTCGAGATTTCATTTTTAAATTTTTAGTTTTTCCATTTAACAAATTTTTCAATTTTTGGTTTTTTAATGTTTTGATTTTTGTTTTGTCTTTTCAATCTTAGATTTTTCAATTTTCCTTTTTTTTTGTTTACTCAATTGTTCGATTTTGCAGTTACTCAATTTAGAATTTTTCGAGTTTTCCAATTTTCAATTTTTCTATAAATGCCAAATAATTCATAACTATAATAATGATATTACGACACAAGCTAACAAGTTTGATTCTAAGAAGATGGATGAGATTTATAAGGAAACAGAATTATATTAAAATTTAGGGCTACAAAACTTAAAGTTAAATTCGAATGTGTGAAGCAGAGGGGAATTGCTACGAATTCTCGCACCCTTCAAAATATCAGAGCTCACTTTTTGAGTTTAACAAAATAAAAAAAAAATCATCAGAATTAAGATAGGGCGGGTGGGTGGGGATTATATTTTGCCTCTTTTTTCTTAATATACATAGCCGTGTGTTCACAACAAGAAATTTAAAACATTGTTACAATGGTACTTTTTTTTTCTCTGAAATATATTTTTTTTACAATTTTTCGAACTTTCAAAAAATTATTCAGTTTTCCAATTTTTCAATTTTTCGATTTCAATTTCTCGAGTTTTCAATTTTTAATTTTTCAATTATTCCACTTTTACATGTTACGATTTTATAATTTTTTGTTTTTCCGTTTTGTTTCTTCAATTTTGCGATCTAAGATTTTTCAATTTTTCGATTTAAAATTTCAGGAGTTATCAATTTTTAATTTTTCAATTTTTCGATTTTTTAATTGTTCATTTCTTCAAATTTTCTATTTGCAATTTCACAAATATTCAAAATTTTTCTATTTTTATATTCGTTAATTTTTCATTTTCTTTATTTTTACAATTTTTCGGTTTTTTAGTGTTCTGTTTTTATATTTTTTTGTTTTTTCAGTTTCAATTTTTTTTAATTTTTCGATTCTTCCATTTATCGATTTGCGATTTTTCAATTTTTCATTTTTTGTCTCTTCAATGTTTAGATTGTGCAATTTTTCGATTAAAAATTTCTCGAGTTGTCATTTTTAAATTTTTCAGTTTTTCCAATTCCCAAATTTTTCACGTTTTAATTTTTAGACTTTGCAGTTTTTCGATTTGGAATTTCACGAGTTTTCAATCTTTAATTTTTCAATTTTTGATTTCGGTTAAACATTTTCTTCATTTTTTCAATTATTCGATTGTTTAATGTTTTGATTTTTTGTTTTGTTTTTTTAATCTCAATTTTTCAATCTCCGATTTTTCAATTTTCCATTTTTTTGTTTACTCAATTTTTCGATTCTGCAGTTTCTCGATTTAAAATTTTTCGAGTTTTCAATTTTTAATTTTTCAATTATTCCATTTTACATGTTACGATTTTATACTTTTCTGTTTTTTCCGTTTTGTTTCTTCAATTTTGCCATGTAAGATTTTTCAATTTTTCGATTTAAAATTTCTGGAGTTATCAATTTTTAATTTTTCAATTTTTGTTTTTCATTTCTTCAAATTTTCTATTTGCAATTTTTGGTTTCAAGTTTCAATTTTTTTATTTTTACAATTTTTCAATTGTTTAATCCATTTTTATATTTTTTTGTTTTTCCCGTTTCAATTCTTTTAATTGTTCGTTTCTTCCATTTATCGATTTGCGATTTTTCAATTTTTCATTTTTTTGTTTCTTCAATGTCTAGATTTTGCAATTTTTGGATTAAGAATTCTGGAGATTTCATTTTTAAATTTTTCAGTTTTTCCATTTCCCAAATTTTTCACGTTTTAATTTTTAGATTTTGCAGTTTTTCGATTTAGAACTTCACGAGTTTTCAATTTTTGATTTATCAATTTTTTGTTTTTTTAATCTCAATTTTTCTTTCAATCCTGGATTTTAAACTTTCCATTTTTTTGTTTACTCAATTTTTCGATTTTGCAGTTCCTCAATTTAAAATTTCTCAAGTTTTCAATTTTTAATTTTTCTATAAATACCAAATAATAATTCAGAATTATAATAATGATATTACGACACAAAACGCAAAGTCAGATAACAATTTTGATTCTAAGAAGGTTGATAATATTAATAAGGGAACAGAACTATATTATAATTCGGGGTTACAAATATTAAAGCACAATTCGAATATGTGAAGCAGAGGGGAACTGTTACGAATTCTCACGCCCTTCAAAATATCAAAACTCACTCTTGGAGTGTAACAGAATAAAAAAAATCATCAGAATTAAGATAGGGCGGGTGGGCGGGGATTATATTTTGCCTTTTTTTTTCTTAATATATAGCCGTCTTTTCACAACAAGAAATTTAAAACATGGTTAAAATAGTACATTTTTGTAAGGAAATATGGATTTTGCAATTATGAGGCGAAGTCTAATTGGAAAATCGATATTTCCTTATACAAACTTTCCATTTTAAACATGTTTTAAGTTTCATGTTGTGAAAAGATGTCTAACATATTAAAAATGGATCGGGCACAAACAGTCCAATAATAATACGTTCATGATTTTGTCGTATATTTTGTATCAGATTTTGTCTTTATAAACTTTATTAGACCTTCTGAGTACCAGTGATTACACCCTATGGACTGATTTCGTTAGTGAAGTGAAATGTTTCCATGACAGATTTCCTACTCACGTATTTATTTAAACTCTATTTCAAATTGACACAGACATTCTTTACGAGAAAACTAATATAAAAGTTTTGTTTATAATTTTGCATTTGCACCTATTATCCTACATTTACATTGCCAGATAAAAAAGTACATGAAAATGTTCACAACTTAATGAAATAACATATATTATATTTAAATTTAGAGAAGTTGTTTATATTTGAAACATCCGTTACATTAGTTAAATGTCAAAACAAAAATATGTTTAACTACATAACCTAAAAGTTTACACAGTACGTCAATACGTTTTATGAAACCAAGTAAGTACGTTTATTAAAATTATTATGCTCTTGTGATTATTGTAAGTTTTGTTTTTCAAATATGAACGTTAAGTGCATTGTGTGCAAGAAGAGTTTCTGTAATATTTATACTTACAAAAAACACGTTAGGATTTTTCACCCTGGTAATAGAAAAATAAAAAAATAACCCCATTTTCCAATTAATCTTGTACTATTTCAGAAGAAGCAGATAAACTAGCCCCGAAAAAAACATACAATTTCCACTGCCAAGACTGCGGCAGGAATTATTCACATTTGAAACATCTAAAATATCACCGAAGAAAGCTTCACGGCGATGGTAAAATGAAGCAACCTGTTTCAAAAAAGAAGTGCCCAATCTGCGATTTTTGCGGTTCCAAAGTGCAAGAACTAGACGATCATTTCAATAATGACCACCAAATTGTGCTTCATACTTCACATCATCACTTTTCATCTCTAAAACAATTTAATTTGTGGAAAGAAGCAATTGAGAACGAAACAAAAGCATGTTTCGTGAAATATAGCGGAGCCAAAGTTCTCGTAAATTCCCAGCAAAGTATTAGTTATGTTTGTCATAGGTCTGGTACCTACACTTCTAAAAGCAAAGGCCTTCGACTTTTAAAAAGCCAAGGGAGTAATAAGATAAACGGTTTTTGTCCAGCTAGAATCAAAGTCATCACATTTGATGATGGCTCATGTGAGGTGGTTTTTTGTGAAACACATGTGGGGCATGAGAATGATTTAAATCATTTATTTTTGAATTCATCAGAGAAAGAAAGATTGGCGGCCAAAATAGCTCAGGACGTGTCATTTTGTACAATTTTAAAGGAAGTGCATGATTCACAACAAGATTTACAGTCAGAACGATTGTGCTTACTTAAAAGAAAAGATTTGCATAATATAAAACAAAGGTTGTCTCGACAAAGTTCAACTCCCAGTCAAACTACCAGTGAGGAATCAGGAGGCACAAACGGTGAAGATGGTAATATTAACATAGTGTATTTGTTAGTTTTGACACTATTTAATAATGATTTTATTACTATTTGCAGAAGATAAAAAATCTGATTTAATGATTGACTGTGGTGACAGTGTTTGGATAAAATCAGACAATGGTTTGGCGGATCATGATTATATGTGTAGTAAGAATATAGATACCAAATGTTGTTTATCACTGTCAGAAGAAAAAAAGAAACTTCAAACTAATGTAACTAAGATCATTTCTTCACTGAGTTCTATGGAGGAAGTACAAGTAATGAAAAAAATTATTGCTTCAATCAAGCCAAGTCTAGAAGAAGTTATAAAAAGGAAAGAAGTAACAGTAGAAGAGACATCAGCAGTTACAGTATCCAATGGCAATTACATCACTAAGTGTGACAATACGCTTCATAGACGTTTGATTATAGTGAAAGGAACTAGGCAAATTGTTATACACAATCCCCAACAGATTAACTAACAATCAAATGGAGGTGTGTTGCCAAGATCACTGATTCAAGGTACTAGCCCTAAAGAGAGGCTACAGTTGGAGACTGCGTAGTAGGAATTGATATGCCAAAGTTATTAAGTACGGCGTACAAACATTTTAAAATCATCATAAAATGGAAACGAATTTGGTGTACTATATGGGAACATGATAGCTTTACAAAAATTTTAATTTAAGACAAACTAGAAGATTAAGTTTTATATGTATTTCTCAAGTGTCCTGACAAATCTGACTGTCAGAGTTCTAAGTAAAAAGTAAATTTCCTTATTTTTGCGAGCTTTTGTTAAATTTAAACAACTCTTTTGACTTGATTGCCTCAACTTACAAAATGCTATTTGTTTTATCAGTAAAAGATCTTTTTAAGAGAAAACATGTATTTATTGACAACTCTCACGAATTGTTATTCTGTTCACTTATTTATTTTTCCCCCAGCCTGCTAACACAACATCCCCCCCTTTTAAGCTAGGTTACGTAGTCTTTCAAATAAGCAGGCCTCTTTGAATTCCTAGTTGACCGCCGCAGAGGAGGAACAGACCCTGGAGGTGACGACACAACATTATCAGATGAATTATGAATTCCTGTAGTGATATTGGTGCTGACTTCTCTGGAACTTTTATTCATTAATTTTGAATCAATGTTGACACTATTTTCAGAAGGTTGAGGCTGAGGCAATGTCGAAACGAGCGGAGGTGGTAAAATATAATAAGGAGCTGGAACTAAATGATATCGGTTGCGCCGATAGATTCCAAAATTAGTTTCCACCATGTATGACCGTGGTTCTCTTAAGACCTCTATTATTTTCCCATATATTCGTAAGTCAATTACCCAAACACTCTCCCCTTGTTTCAGTTCTGATAAATTTCGGGCCCTATGTCTTCTATTAAACTGGTCAATACTTTTATCTTTAGCCTTATCCTCCCTTTTAAAAACAAGTTTAGCGTTAACAGCTTTATTTAATTGACTTGGCAAAATAGGCAAATTTGACCGTAGTTTCCTATTCATGAGAAGTTCGGAAGGACTATATCCGCACTCTAATGGTGTAGTACGATAAGCCAATAAAGCTAAATCTAAACCACCAGGATTTTTTTTAATAAGACTCTTGGCTATTTTTACAGCCGCTTCAATGCAACCATTAGACTGAGGAAAGTAAGGACTACTAGTAATGTGATGGAAATCATAATCATAAGCAAATTTTTTAAATTCACTTTGGAATTGTGGACCATTATCTGACCTTACAATTTCAGGAATGCCAAAGCGACTGAATAATGTCTTCAGTTTAGCAATAATGATGGATTCTGTCATTTTATTTAATTTGAATATTTCAAAGAATCTTGAGTAATAATCAGTCACTATTAAGTACCAACTATCAATTTTAAACAAATCTAGTGCAATTTTTTGCCACGGACGTTCGGGAAATGAATCCTTTAAGAAAGGTTCTTTAAAATTAATTTTATGTTCCACACATTGAGGGCAATTTCTAATTAAATTTTCAATCTGTGAAGAAAGACCTAACCACCACACAGACGTTTTCGCTCGTGCGCGACATTTAACAATCCCCTGATGTCCGCGATGTAAAAATTCTAAACACCTCAACTGTAAAGAACTAGGAATAATTATTCTATTATTTCGCAACAATATATCGTGGACAAAAGAAATTTCAAATCGATATTGGTAGTAAGGACGTATATTCTCCTCTAATTTAGTCTTAGCAGGCCACCCAGTTATAGAATAATCCTTTAACGTTTGACATATAGAGTCTTTGGCCTGTTCTTGTTTAATTTCCTCAATAAAGTATGGTTTTACTTGAACAGATTGTACTATCAAATTAACATGTGCCTCCGTTTCATGAGCCAACTCGTCATCCTCTGGACTACGCGAATCTCCTGAAAAATTTCTTGATAACGCATCAGCTACTATTAGATTTTTTCCTGGTACATAATAAATTTCATAATCAAACCTCATTAATCTAATTCTGAAACGCTGTAAACGAGGTGTTAAATCATCTATGGATTTTGTTTGTAAAACTTGAGTTAATGGTTTGTGATCCGTTTCAAAAGTTATTCGTATTCCGGTGATATATTCTCGAAATTTTTCTGCTGCCCAAGTTAATGCAAGTGCTTCGCGTTCAATCTGAGCATATCTTTTTTCAGTAGGTGAGAGTAATCTAGAAGCATAGGCAATCATTTCTTTTTTGTTTTCATTACATTGCATGAGACATGCACCCAAACCATACGACGAAGCATCTGCAGAAATAAAAATCTTCTTAGAAGGATCAAAATACGCTAAACAAGGACTAATTTGTAATAAGTGTTTAACTGTCTCAAACGATTCTTTTTGAGAAACACCCCACATAAAAGTTACATTTTTCTTTAACAACGAAGTTAGTGGCTCTAAAATCTCTGAACGGTTAGGAATAAAGCGACTAGAAAAATTAATAATTCCCAAAAATTGTAACAATTCTTTTTTGTTTGTGGGTTCTGGATACTTATTGATTGAAGAAATTCTATCTGGATCAATAGAAATACCTTTGTCAGAAATTTGATGACCTAAAAATTGCAAGGATTTAACTCTAAATACACATTTATCTTTATTTAATGTAATCCCTTCAGCAGCTATTCGAGAAAGAACTTCGTTTAATATTTTATCATGTTCTTCAATAGTCGCAGCAAAAATCAAAATATCATCAATATGACTAATTACACCTTCTATTCCAATTAGAATTTTAGTTAACAAGATCGAAAAATATTCTGGGGCACAAGAAATCCCAAACGGAAGTCTCTTAAATAAAAATCGACCAAAAGGGGTTATAAAAGTTGTTAAATCTTGACAATTTTTACTTAATTTGATTTGGTGGAAGCCTGATGTAGTGTCCAGCTTACTAAAATAAACTGCCCCTTTTAACCTAGCTAAGATTAATTCTACCTTGTTTATTGGGAAATAAGAACGCAGAACAGCTGTATTTAAACGGGTGTAATCCACACACAATCTAATTTTTTCACCTTTCTTCACAACTACAATTGGACTGACCCAAGGAGTATAATAATCAACAGGTTCTATTATATTTAATTTTTGTAATCGTTCTAATTCCAATTTTAGTGAATCTAATAAGGCGAGGGGTACTATACGCGGTACAGATTGTACATAAGGTTGAACACCTTCTTTTACTTTTATCTCCATTTCAGTTTTAAACGTTCCGATATTACTAAAGATTCCTGGAAACTTTTCTGAAACAATTTCTTTTAATGAACTATTATTAGCTACAGTATTTAAATTTAATAAGCCATCATTATTTTTAAACTGAATAATATTTAAATTAATAATCCCAGTCCTCCCTAGAATAGGTTTTGTCAAATTTTTAATAATAAACAACTCTGTCTTAAACAGTTTGTCCCCTTGGATCAAATTAACAGGCATAGTACCGACAACCCCCAGCTTAATCCCAGACGGGCCAGAAATAATTTTATTTGACTTACGTATTTTATACAATAGATTCTCGGGCACATAATGAAAGGGTAGGCAAGAAACGTCAGCACCAGTATCTACCAGAAACTCAATAACTCTGTTTAACCCTGAAACAAATAAGGAGGCGATCCATTCTTGAGTATTAATTTGGTTTAAATAAATCGTCCCTACAAGATCTACGTCTTCCTCTTCAGAAAGTAACTCCAAAGATTTAATCATAACACTCCTACATACTCTAGCAAAATGTCCCTTTTTCTTGCATTTTCGACAAACTACTCCATTAGCAGGACACTTATCTCTGGAATGAGGTTGCAGACCACAAAAAGGACAGCGCTTATCACACTGACACTTCAAAGACTTATTCTGAAACGAGTTTTGTTTCTTCATATCACCCGTACTGCTACCATTGTTAGCATTTCTTGTCTCAACTGACAGTTTTGCAACTTGACGCTGACGCATGTCGTTTTGAAGTTCTCTGTTCTGCTCAGCCTGAATTTCAGCTTGTTTTGCAGCCAATACGCAATAAGATAAAGTTAAATTTGTTTGCAATTGTAAACGCTCACTAGTCCGGGAGTCCAGCATTCCAACCACTATGCGATCTCTTATCAATTCTTCCTTTAGTGCCCCGTAGTCACAACTTTCAGCCAGAGAATGAAGACTAGTAATGAAACTCTCCACTGACTCCCCCGGTTTCTGAACTTTGGAATTAAATTTGTAACGCTCAAAAATTATATTTCTCCTTGGAACAAAGTGATTTTCAAAACACTGTAATGTCTCAGCATAACTCTTAGGTGTAACTGCAGCTTGCAATAAAATATCTTCAGATTCTTCTCCCATGATATACACCAATAAATTTATTTTCTCCTCTTCCAGCTTATCATTCTGTCCCGATATGGACATATATCGCTCAAACCGCTTTCTCCATTGGGGCCAAGTATTAGGCATAGAAAATGTAAATTTTTCTGGTGGACTAACATGAGCTTGCATACCCATCACCGGAGTATGCGTTACCTTTACCGGATTAGGTGTTCCTTCCGGTCCAGTCATGATCTATGTACTTTCAAATTACTATTTATATCTTCTCTGCTATTTCTTCGTATGATTTTAACGAATATACGATCTTTTTACCGCTGTCACCATGTTTTATCAGTAAAAGATCTTTTTAAGAGAAAACATGTATTTATTGACAACTCTCACGAATTGTTATTCTGTTCACTTATTTATTTTTCCCCCAGCCTGCTAACACAACACTATTATGTCAAAGTACATAAAATTCTGTTGCTTGTAAATCTTGTAATATTACTAAAAGAATGTCATGGCACTAATATGTTATTTTCGTACTACATACAGTAAAGCGAGTAATGACAGATATACGAAAATTTTTTTGAATGAAAAGTGACAGTAGGTATTTTTATTGTTTATTGTATGTCATGAAAACTGTCATTAAATGTATCATGTTTCAGAAACATTTTTAAAGTGCATTTTCAAAAAAAAACTTGATTTTTTTTACGTTACAAAGTAAAGTAAACCCTTTGGTTCATGGAAGACGGCTTTCAGAAGAAATTTTTGTCACCAAGGAAAAATACTGGTATTTTTCTAAATTTCTAGGAATATAGTAGTGCTGATATTAATATAGCGTTTGTATTATTTGATTTACAAACAGACGTTCATGTCACTGTCATTTGTCCAGTTTTTACCTAAGTAAAATAGTACCAAAGTACATATTTTAATTATTCCCCAACCCTTCCGCAAAACGCAGGACCTATTTTACAATTTATCCAAGACACTGCATAATGAACTACAATTTTTGGTAAAATACTGTACTGAAATACTGATTTATAGTATAGTGGCTGCAAAACGCTACCAATTTTTTTTATTTTAGAAAGCAGC